TGAAGGTTTCAATTAGCGGCCGACGTCAACTGTGCCCCAATAGCGTGGGGCATACGCAAAGCGTGGCTCCCTCCCTGGGTTAGGGCTCTGCTGCAGCAGTAAAGTGTGAAAAATTATTGACAGATGCTGAAGCTACTATATCTATCGAACTTCCATACGCTTATTAATACCGTTTACCAGTAGGAATGTTTGTCGCCAATCTTATACACAAGTACAAGCAATACGCCGGAATTTTGCTAAGACGCACCGTTACAAAAATCTATTGAATATGACCGCTATTAGATTCATACCACCACAACAGTCGGGTCACATCAAGTCTTACGATGGATACGAGAGGATAACAGATATGGTAACTTGTGACGGTGGCAAATCCGAAGCGGTCAAATGGTCCGCCCCCATTATTCAGTCAGTAATAATCTGGGGTCCCCATGGGAGCTATACGTATATAGTGCGGACTATGCATACGGTATCCTAGGCACCATTAGCGGTACTGCGCAGAGCCAGCAATCGTTGTAGTTACGTTCATCGGCTTGGTGATTACGCTAACTCCGAACGCTGAACAGCTTTGAGAGCGTTGTCACCTTGCGGATTGAAATGTTGAACGGGTATCGTTCTTCGGCCTTAAGCAGTTGAAGCTGTTGTTGCTTCTAGCTAGCAGTGGCCATGACCATTGGATCTGTGCAGATAAAGTGCCCGTTCAGCGCATCCCTCCGGGCCAGGAAGTGGGTTGGGCACAAGGACGTCGGACGGGCACTAAATACCGTTACCACCACCACCACCACAGCAAAAGCAATGGCATGAGCGATTCACCATGCCGATAGCAGGCGTTAATAGCACCTTTTGTGGGACTGTTGGCCGTATTCGTTATGGGGGGCATGTAAGTGGCTTATCGACTGTAATGTCAGCTGTGGATAAATATGCGATCTCACCGGACCCTTTAGCGACCACATATGTCGCAGCACGACTACAAACTAACGATAATTTCTTCAAAGGTAACTATAAAAATAATGCTGCTTCTGTTTTTGTTTACTATTGGTGTTTTCTATGAGGAATCTGACAAATCACATAGAAGTGATTGGTTACATAGGATCTTTTATTTTTCCGCACAGATATATGACAGTGGCCGTCGCGCCGTTAGCTGGCGTAACAATGGTATCCCTATAATGGATGCAATATATGAAACACACACTCTATGAACGTATCTCATCAATAACATTTTTGAACGCGAAAAAGACCGTTCGCAACAGGAGCACAGATCCACGACCCCTTATTCTATCGTTAAATGGCGGACTCTTTATTTGGTGGAGTAATAGCCAAATTTATTTAGTAATGAATAGGTAGACGAATTATTAAGTGCTTCTGCCTTTTACCATCATATGGTAATAAGCGATCGTCTTTAATCTTAGTCTTAAGCAGTTTTGATAATATATGCTTAAATCTTAAGCAATCATATAAACTAGGAATCGAAGAATTTACTCATTGACAGGGTGTCATTTCATTGGGTCAAAGTAGAAATGGGTAGTACGGACATGTGAAACAATACAGAATTTTAGCTCACTACGCCCAGTATCCACCGCTGTGTGGCATCAGCGAATGATCAAGCAAATTAATATCAACACAGGTTACTACCAGATTAACGTCAGACTTGAAAAAGTTGTTTGGAGTGCGTTATTTTTAGGTCAAAAGTGCTGTTTTTAGGTTGACCCTTTTATCTAATACTGTCGACTACAAAACCTTCGTCAAACACGGTACGTTTATCCTTCCGTGGCCTGCTGGTCTCAATGAAAAACAAATGAGAAGTTTTGAAAAGAATGCCTTATTGCCGTCCGTCAAACCCATCTATGGAGACCGGGATTAGGTCAAGTTAGTTTTTCAAACGCTGACTGAACAGATATGACACTGTCTTTGTCTCCCGACGGCATCGAACTCTTCAAAATCAACAAATGAAGAATTAATTAGCGGAAGCAAGAAACAAAAACAGCTATGACTTGTTTTAGAACGTAACATACATTATAAGAACATACCAACGATTATCCACTTCAAGGTACCTTGCTCCTAGCGGGCGCTGGAAGGCAGACACCGAATACCGCACAAGCAACATGAACTAAGGTTCGACTGCTACGGAAAATACACTGCCATTGTATTACTTGTTTAGTGTATCATATGCATTATATGGGACTTGTTATTCCTGCAAAAAATTGGTAGAAAATTTAGCAAGTGATCGGGCCGAACACGGAACCCAAGACCATCGTATTCGGTCCTAAGGTTTTGTCCGCATGTTATATCTGTATACACAGACATCGTGTTCTGCTAATGTAGGTATCGAGTATAGCTGCAATATTTAACAGGTACGACTGGTATTCGTTGGACTTCATAGAGCTTCCAAGCTGGTAGTGCATCTTCAGTCCATTTGTATAGCGATGCCCGGTACCAGCAGGCAGGATTCTGTCTACTCGAACAGACGATGGATCTTTTGAAATTAAGCACCCCTCCTTCCTGACAGGCTTGTCGTCCTCTTGACGACATGATATGATACAGAGAAAAATAAGAGGGCGTTTTTGGGTTGAGTGTTGTCGTGATACAGCAAAGTTGCACGTTCCTGTGATAGAACAGGGGGCAAAATGTTTGCCTATTAAACGCGTAGTGGTCTAAGCTAGCTCCCAAGCCTATACATTCTATTTTACACTAAAAGCCAGCGGTCTCAAGTAATGCCTAATGGCCTGAGTCTGGGACGGGAGCTGCGGGGAAGAAACAACGAATATGTACATGTTTCGTTCAATTCCACGATAGGCAATGTCTGGCTGTAATGTATCGAATATGCATAGTGTCATAGGTTAAGTATTATTTTACGTATATACAGCTACGAGAGCTGACTTTGGCAGCGTCGAACCACTTACGTTTAGCGGTAAATTTTCATTTCTCGCCCGTTTCTTTTCTTAAGTACAGCTTATCAAGTGGGTCCTCGCAGTACTATCTAGTTCTGTTGTCTGTAATACAACTATTGTCAAGGGGTGGTACGACAGGAACAGCGTCATCGCTAGCATTTCCAGAAACGGCACCCCTCCATTTTGGTCGGGCCCTCGGGCAAGCAGAAGGGTTACAAATACGAAAAAACTGCGTGCCTATCATGCCAAGCCGTTGTTCAAGTGAACGATCAATTTCAGTTTATACGGACTGCCATGGACCACTGCTGGCTGGAGCGACAGAACAGCGAATCACAAACGTTTACGCATACTCGTAAATACTGACGTGATAGCTGGATAGGCGAGTACGGAAAATACTGTCCATCGAATCGTTCGACTGTAGAAAATGAACCGAAAGAAGGAGTCGTGCAGCCGACATCGCTATCCGAAGCTGCGTCGTCAATACGACTCGCAAACGTAGGGAGCAGCAGGAGAGCACGAAGCTAAAAGAGAAAGGAATCGAATTAGTTTTGACAACGACATACGCTAATGCGACAAGAGCGGAGCTCCATTCTTACATGCTCTTTGGATAAGCTCGCATCTCTCTGGAGTGCGTAATTGTGAACAGTCGACTAGTGTGGTGCGCCACGCGGGCGTACAGCTTCAGCCAGCGTCGGTTATAACGTAGCACTTGCCACTTGGTTTAACGCTCACCAGGAGTCGGGAGGCTAAAGGAGACAGATAATCAAATCGTGGTCACGGCAACAGTTATAGCATTAACGTGCTTATGCCTATCATCGTCGCTGTTGGCGGCTAAGGCCACAGTGGCCTGCCAGTGTGACCATTTGCCAACCGCTTAGTAAAAGTGAGCTCTTTTTCTCAATGATCAACTGTTACATCGGTTCAGTCAGCATCTACAAACCCTACTTGAGTGGCCAGGTAGGTGAATCTTAGAATTACCGTCGCAATTGCTACTCCCGACGCTCGAGAATAGGGCTATTTGCCCTATCGGGGTTCTGTTACTGGTGCCATGACGACAATGTCTTGTCACCCATGAGCCGTCTGACAAGACGAGAAAAATCCGCACACGTCTTGGATCCGTCGTTCTCCGATTGCAAGGTTGGGTACTATAACCCACACGTTACAGTTGCATGAACGACCGACTTAGTCCTGTGAGAGGTTGGATACGACGGATAAAGTAAGCCAAGTTCAACGAACTTCGTAACGGTGCGACATGGACAAACATGAACATCAATCAAACTGCAAGATGTACGTAACCGATAAATGAGCTTTCTTCTTTGTTAGTGTTGTTTCTCATAGTGTTTTCATTATTTACAATGCAAACGATATCAGACCTGGCAATCCCTGAACTTTGTACGTTCCAAACGCCTAGTGATGATAGGTATTGAGAGATTGATCGACTCGATATTTCAACGACCGACGCTAGCTAGCTAGCTAGCTAGCCCGGTTTGTGGCATTACGTAACGGAACTTTATCGAAGCAGCAGTTACATCATATCGGTATCAATAATAATAATAATAATATATCAGAAAAGCTGAACCTTCTTCAAACGATAATTATATTATTGGGTGTATAATTATCGATATGTTGCTGAATGAAATTTATCACTTACCCCGCCAAATATATATATGGGTTCAATTTACAAGCGTTAAACGAAGATGATTGTCGCTCGTCATAGCGGTTATTATTTTTCTTCAATGTTTTAAATTTCCCCAGCGCCGCCTCTTGGTCATTCCTGTTAAGCGTCATGGAACATTCGACAAGTGACTATATGAATGAAAGTTACACCCATCATCTTCAGTGTAATCAAGTAAGATATTCGAAATACTGATGAGTCACATCGACATTTACACGTGGTCACGGCAAGAAGTTTAAGGCACGCAATCGAAATTGGCAAGAAGCCGGTCGGTCTGCTATGTTGGGAAACGCTACTGCCATCTACAATTAGTGAAAGCGCTAGTAGATTACAATAAACTAGAGCTAGAGAGATTCGAGAGACGGACGATAATCGCTCGACAGATCTGACGACAAATCTATGTAAGTGAACGTCAAACGAACTAGATTTTTATTAACCCACATAAACCCAACCCAATAATATACGAGCTATAGTAGTGCACCGTCGATACAAACGATAGCATACGAAACAGTCTCAAATGGCGCGACGATTACGAAATAATGGATTCTACCGCGATCACCGTAACGAACATGTTTCAGGTATTGAATAGCATTACTACGAATGAAATACGACGAAAGTGCTCACCATAGCGCTCGTTCAACCTGTAAACAGTTTGCCTGAGGAAGAGCAGTCGACTTAGTGGCTTTTGTCTGCGCGACGGCGGCGTCTAAGTTACGATATGGAACAATTACGAATCGTCATAGGACGATAACATATAGATATGTTCACTTCAGTCTGCACGCTGCATAATGGCAGCTCCTCATAGCTTATTGGAGGGTCGTACTTATGGTTTTCGTTTGCTGTTTTAAGGAATATCAGTCTAATAGTTGAGTTTGCTTCTGGAGGATTGCGGGATTGATTATTTGTTGAACTTAACAATGTTCATGCGATCGGCAATTAGGGGCCGTTAGGACAGCGAGCGAAGTGTGTGCCGCACATCGAGATACGGGATCGATTTCAGCGGAACGTCGGTAGCGACAGACGCAAAGGTTCCGCAGTACATAGGTCATGGCTGCAGTAATGATAGAAACAAGCTCAGAGCAAAAATAGTTGCTTTCTACGTAAGCGATTTAATAAGACAGTTAGACTAGAGAGAGGAACTAGAATCCGATTCGGACCGTTTTAACTATCGAAGCTGACTAGAACTGAGCTAGGGGGCGGCTTGATACATAGCGAGACGTGCATATCGCATAGCAGTATGATGTAAGAAACGTTCCTTTCATACCTTCGTGGTAAATCGATATTTTGAATCTACTGGTGTCTAAGATATGGGAAAATGAATGCCTTCAAGCCAGCCGAGTAAGCGTATACCTTGCATGAACACACGGCTCAATTTTTTCGTGACCATTTTGTCTTGTCTTCCTTTTAGCGTGTGTGCTCCACAGTGCCCAGAATTACTCAATGTCAAAATCGTGATTCGTTACTTTTGCTGCTCTGTACGCATCGAATCGCCATTGATTGTGAATTAACACAGACATCAACGGGCAGAAACGCAGGGCGAAGACAAACCTTTTTCTTTCTTACCGGCCTTGCAGTTAACAACAAGCTGTAGCAGGTAAAAGTCGTCGTTCGGCCGACTGTCATAAGTATTATTTATTCAAAGCCGATCTAAGTCATCTGTCACTCCTCTAAGGTAAACCCTACACTGAATGGAGGGTTACCATGAGTCACGCCCGCAGCAGCTACGGTACGCTAGACTCAGCGTCACATCAGAAGGCGTCACAGCGGTTATTGAGGAGCTCGTAATGATAGCACCCATCGAATGAGTTTGGTGTACACCAATATCCAGGGATAGGTAGGTTGTTGTGTTTATCTTCTCCACTCAATTTTGATAAGTACTTGACGATGCTCATTATTAGAACGAAGACAATTTGTCGTCATCAGGTGTAGCTCAGATGACCTCAGTAGCGGTACATTTACATGCGATAGTTCAGCGATTCGCACGAACATTTTGCCACTGGAGATAAGCTATAAAAAGGAGTCAACATTACCCATTATTGGATTGCCCCAATTCGACGGAACGATCAATAGCTTTGGCATATCAGCGAATAACTGGGCAAGTGTTCAGTTTCCATTGGATGCTTAACGTTGTCTTAGCTCGTATTAAGGTCTGTCGTACGCTGCTTGCTGATTTTTATAGACGCTCTACGACGGCCATGAAAGAAAATCGACACACGGTACACACCTAAACGTCAGTGGAACAAATGAATTTTAAAAAAATAGAAATAAATTAGCACAATTATTAATATGTAACCAGCCATGCAAATATACGAAGCAGTATACGTATCTTGGCAATTGATTTACCATATATGTTACTTATGCGCTTAGCTTCATCGCTTACCTTGCGTTTGGCTATTGAAAGTTGTCTCTCAGTCGTGTATATCCAGGCTGTGTGGATCCTGGACAGTTTGGATCATCGCTCTTCCTCAATAGAGGATGACTTAAAAACTAGAGAAAGCAATTATAGTTTCTAAAATATTCCTCTCGCTAGTTAATTATCGAAATGCTAAAAATCTATATGTGAAAGATTTTCTCAGTTAATGGTGTGCTTATTAAGCTAAACAGCCGCAGATATTCCGTCGGTAAATGCACAGTATCTTCACTGTATATACTTCATAACTACTACGTTCACCTAATGTATACAGTCAGAACCACTAGTCATTATATTGTCCAATTAAGACGACAGTTCCATTGACGCGTAAAACATCTATTACAAAATATCTTACCGGTGGCGTATACGTAGACATGCCCATACAAACAAACAAACAACTATGATTACCGCAATGCAACGTAGCTCGGGTGACGTTTACCAATGACTCTGGCGACTGTGATCGCAGGTACTCTTCCTAGGCCTTGTTTATGCTAGCCTAGCAATAGTAACGATTTGGTAGCTGAGACAAGGCGCGAACCACAGGAAGGAGCAGTCGCATGTGTTCTATCCAAGGCTGCGTGTAGGTGTGCTTAAGACAATCTTACTACTATCTCCGACCTTTACTAGTTAGCTCTGTTGTCGGTGGCGTGTCGGAGCCATATTTCTATGTTATGCACACATGAAAACAAACGCAAGGCACACGAGACGAAATGTCAACAATAAAGTCTTAATTGTTATCATTGCTTCCGTTATTATATTTTCACGAATATCTATGTTCATCAACATTTTCGTTAGAAATGGAAGGGTTCTACCATTTTGTATTCAAGTTCGACTGGGAATGCATAAGTGTGATTGGTGTAGTGCGCAAGCAAGCGGTACCTCCGCTACGATCTATTTCTTATTATTATATCATGTATAATTAGAAATTACGTAATGTATATAAAAAAATCAACGGTGCAACACTGACTTAACATGAAATAGAGAGATGAAACGACGTAGTCGCACTAGAGCCAAGGTGTACAATAAGCATTGACGGCATTTTTGATTTCGACCGAGACCTGAATAGCTCAAGTGCATCCGGTTTAGAAGTGCGCTAACGATTTGACTCGGCCATGTTTAATATCGAGTCTGGTTCTTCGTTCTTATTGTTCTCATGCAGGAGTGCACAATGTATCATCGTGCGGTAGCCTATGAACAGCGCCTTCCGGTGGAGACGCTGTACTGCACATCCGATATCGTACGAGGTTCAATGGCTTACAACGACAACACGCATGAGCATAGCCACGCGGCGTCCCCGGACACCGACGTGGCTGAAGGGCGTCTCAGCGATTTTGAACTTGAGCAGATTGAACACTGTTACCGCAGCCAGAAAACATCTGTGTATGTTGCTTCCTGTCTCGCCAATCTGTATTTTACCCGCACCGATCAACAGGGTAATCCTGTAACGTGGGAGCTTAGCTCCTGCGGAGTGCCTGTCCTAATCCTTGACAAAGGTAAGTGGCTTTTTGGACTAACCTAGAACTGGTCATTGTTTGAGGACATTACTTATTGGAGAATATATATGCTTTCTAAGTGATCACTCAGTTGCAAAATCAATGCGTTCAGCGAAGCCGGCAGGTTAAAACGCTAACCAGAATGACATGGGTAATAGTTTAGGTGGTATATGATCTATCTATGTTTTATCGCGGTTAAGGACCGCTGCGGTGCCTCATGCCCGATGCTCTTAATCAACGTAAAGGAAACATATTGGTTAGGTAAATTCGAATGCGTGCTTTTTGAAAAGGAACTGCAATACTATCTAACTGCGTACATGGTAGTACTTGCCGTAGCAAGCTTGTCGTAGGAGATTGTCAGTTTTTTAGTGAGAAGTTCAGTATCCATTTCATGAACCGTTTGTTAGCCTATTCTATTGGTAACCCACACAGTAAAAGCGTTGTCTAATACGTGAACGGTGTTATCTTTCTGGTATTGTGGCACTATTCTGCAGGCGAAAGTCGAGCACGAACTATTCGCCAGCTTCAGATTGTCCTTGCTGAGAAAGGCACAGGTTTCGCACTGTGGAGAGACAAAATCGACAACTTGTCGCTATACAAATGTCCTGGTGAGGAAGCCTCTTTTCAGACAATGTACCTTTCATACGATCACAGAGAAATGATCGGACTCAGTTTCGACCTCGAGGAAGCCGCACAAGAGTTCTACGAGACTGTAAGTGTTTCACTTTTAACCAGTTACGTCATCTATAGGGCCAGCCATATATAACTAGAAATTCTCTGGAGGAAAAATAGGTACTGAGAAAGAAAGCTCAATGAGCAATCTATACAGCGTGATCGACTGTTGTTTATTGACATAGTATTTAATTCTGCTTTTTAGGTGTCGGATCTGTGCGCAGACCCGAAAAACATCAGTCTCTCAATGCCAAAACTGTCTAAGAAAAAAAGTAAATCGAAAGGCAAGAAGGCTACGAAGGCTTCTATAAAGCGACGTGTGACGAAATCAGAGATCTCAAGTCCCATATGCTTTCAGCACGTCACGTCGGTCGACGTTATGGACCGCGAGAAGCTTAACTCTCTCTGTTCGCTTGTACATACACTGAGTCTCGATGTCAGCTCGGTGGAAAGCGCGAGTACATCAGGCACATCGAGTTCTAATTCCATCACGTCTAGCCATCTTTAATCAGAAGAGCATATGTAATGGAAACATTTAGAATAAGACGCATTTTGTTGACGATGGCATCCATTGATGAGATGCACAAACAAAAACCTGAGGAGTACAGAAGAGTTCGATGGAATTTCGTCGGTTGTCCGCTGTGTTATAGAAAAGTTCTGTATATATTGCCTAAGACGCTAATCGCCTGGCTTCAGGGTGTTTCGCTGTATATAGCTATCTGTGAGTCGTACATTTGTCTATGGCCATAAATAAAGCTTTTATGTTAATGTATAACAAATACGTAAATGCTTTTTCGTTAAACGTAAACATTGTCACGGGTAAGCGTTTCGTTAAGAGTTCGTACAGCATACAAGACTAAATTGATATGGAACTTGTTTACCATTGCCACTATGGCAGCCACTTAACCTTGTTTCCACATCGGCCAACATAGGGCTTGGCCATAGATACACTACACTGTCAAGGTTTTAAGCAGTTTCTTTTGGTGGCTATATTCTCATCATGAGAGACGCTATGAAAATAGTTGTGTTTGTCATGTTTGTTGAACGGGTTGGAAGCAGGCTGATCGAAATCCTAGGAAATAATTGCAGTAAATGGTCTTAGATGAAGGCTGTTTCGTCCCCTATTCCTTGCACGGCGCAATAATTGAAGATCAACGATTATTGGCCCGCGTTGCAATACCAAATATAGCATTTATCATGCAAAATAAATCATCTGCGTCAGCAACATCGCGATGGCAGTGGAACGATTCCGATAGCCCATCGATGAAGGCGGGTAACCACCGTATCTTAAAGGACTTAGTTAGGTAACAACATAAGAAATTTATAGCATGCAAACAAATAAGTGATCGCGACTTCACGCGCGCAGCCATTTTCTAGCCTGTGAACAGTCATCAGCTCTGCCAGAGAGGTACGATTCTCGTATTGATTTTTCGCATTGGTCTGTTTTGTGACGAGTTATTACGCCCGCGATTTGCCTCGTCACAGTCATGAGCACGACCGAAAGAGAACAACGTCGTCATGATTAGCAAAGTTATGTGGGAAAAACGCCAGGCTATTTATTTATTTATTAAAAATGTTGGACATATCGTTTATTAAATTGCAACTAATCTGATAGTTTAGTATGTTTCTACTGTACGGTTATTTCTATTCAAACGAAAAGCATACAGGAGGCCGTTTCGCAGCGCTAAAGAATTGCTTGTAGAAGTGAATCAGAGTACAGCTTATACGGCCAGTAGGACTGGTTTACGTAGCAACTGTTTCCAATAGACGTTTCTGTAGGACCATTAGGATCCAATGTAACATGTGTTTTACTCGTAAAACTGCTCAATCCGGTGATTTCTCCAGATTGATCTTTAGAATCATTTAAATGAAGTATGTTATCGATGCGCAATACCGACTTAAAATATTTCCAAAGTTTATTATTTTTTTTTTTATCTTAAGTAAACGCTTAATTCTAGCTAAATAACGAATTATAATGATTAAACACAGTGACTTTAAACTAAATATCCCTTAGTGCTTGCTGCAATTGTGTCTATGTATATATCTAATAATAACAAGGCTTGAGCAAATTTTCAGCGTGATTTTTAACAGTATCATTATCATATATTTACTGCAAAATTGCTCTTCCGGACAATTTTAGGTTTTCACAAATGACACTAGGTCTTCCGATTTGCCATAGCGAATTGTTGTTAAGTAAATTTTCTCAATCCAGCAGCACTGGCACCTGCAAAAAAAAAAAAGGACACGAACTGAATTAAGGCTCGCATGGCCTCCGATCAGAGATAGCAATCGGACTTTTCGTTGATAAGTTGCTATCGATGGATGAAAATGTTTCTCCGCGTAAAGTCGCCCTGACCCTATAGACAGTCGATTACCTTTTGAACGTACCAAAAAAAACTAACATAGATACTGATTTGTCAGGTAGCGTACAAAGGACAAAGGGACATCAACTAATCATTGTTCAGGCCTTTTTGTTTCGAGCTGTATAGATTATTCTGTCGTATGGTGAATCAGAACGATCAGATTTCTAATCATATCTTCTGTCAATTATTTGTTTAGAGACTTTTCAACGAAAATAAATTTCGGTTTATGTCTATTTTTACTAGTTGTTCGTCTCGACCTGAATGTGTATGAAGCTCTGAAAATGATTACCTATTTACTAGCATGGTTGATCACAATTGAGGCTTCACCTGAAAGACCCGCTGCAGGAACCGATCTAAAAAGCGGAATAGGCCCCTTGTCTATGCTGGATTATTTACATTATCTATACCATAGCATTATTAACGACTGCCATGAAAAGGCGGCGTGTGTATAGCAAGGCATAGTTTCACACATGTGTAACTGCGCTAAAGGCTACTTCCGATGCTACCGAAAGGGTAACAGTCCTGTGTGGCAGCGGAATTTCCAATGGGAAGGAAGCCTGAAAATCATAGCGTTTGTGAGTTTTTCGCACACGATCCCAGATAACTATGCTAATGAATAGACGATACGATAGTTCAATATACCAAGAACGAATACATCGGTCCGGTGCGTACTAAAATGCTATGGTTTACGTCGAAACTATATAGTAATGTTTCCCTTTAAAGATTGCAACTAAAGCTTTTCTCTAAGCCGATATAATTTAAAGAATATTTCCATACGGAGCGGAACGAGTAGAGTGACCAATAGTTTTTTTTTCTTTATATGATTTTCTACTTCTGGTAGAAACGATATGAGATAGACGTATTTATAGGACATAACATAAGTGGTGGGGTCTCTAGTGCATCGCGAAGCAGCCTTTCAGAACACCGAACGCGCCAATGAAGTGATCGGTTCTAATCCAGTACTCCGTAACGTAACCACCAAAACGTATGCCTCTGTTTTTAGGAACTTCAAATCATTTATTATACAAAGTATATGCACACGTATAAGAGCATATTTTGTTACGAATTATATATGTTATGATTGGCTTTATAAATATACAATTGGTATTCTGCCGCTTCTTGGGGTAACGTAAGAAGGCATTTTAACACTGACTTTTAATTTAAATAGATTTCCTGGAAATATTTAACTAATTCTAAATTAGTCATCTCCAGCGCGATCCACGAAGAAAATTGGCGCCAATTTTTGCAATAGAGAATTGTTGTTTTTTTTTTTTATAGGCTAATGTGTAATTCGAACAGCGACGTTTAGTCGCACTAATAAAGAGGCTAATGTATTATATGTCACATGTATATCTTTTGTAGAATCTATTGTAAAGGCGTAGCATAAATTTCGTGTTATATAGCTAAAATGTAGGAATAAACGAAGTTATTGAAATTGCAATCACGACACGTTGCAGCTTGTTCCGAACTTAGCGATTAAGTTATTTATCTTTGTCAGTGACCTTGCCAAACACCGCTTTCTGAAACACCATGCACCGACTTTTCAGAAGGACTAATACCAAAAAGGCTTACCATATATACATACTGTCGCAATTCCCTGCCCCTCAGAACGCTAGCGGGTACTGTTAGCACCAGTATTTTGCCCTACTATGAGCTTGTTACCAAAACGTGGTTGTTATAAACACAATTAAACTCGATTTTTTTTTTTTATCAACTGGTACTTGCTTTATGTTTGGATTAGCTGGGTCGCAAACGCTTGGCCATAATCGCCTCGTTTAAACGGTGACCTGTTTGCCTATTGAATCTCCGCTCCGTAGGAAACCGGTGGATCAATCTATTTTTTTTTTGGCGACGATCCGGTCCGCCTCTCGGCTGAACGGCCGACACAATCTATCATTCAGGCGCATTTAGATTATGTATCTGTTACTAGTGCTGCTTGCGTCTCAAGTCGCGATCTGATATATACTCGCTATGCTAAAGCAATCGTTAAAGCATAAGTTCCTATTTTATACGTCTGATTAGATAGCGTCTCGCAATCTAACTATTATAATAGTTGTAGTAATACAGACAATAATATTATAGCTTCAATTGGTTAAAAAAGTACCCTAAACCAGTGTAGAATGACGGCTGCCTCACCAACACGAACCTTGCTCACCGGCGTCTAGGACCAAACCAATATATCGATATTTAAATAAATACGTCAACTGACCGATTACCGAATCTTCGTAAATAAATAACACGTTTCCTGGTACGATCGTATTTGAATACGCAGTTGGGCTGTGTGTTGGCGTAGCCACACTTTGCCCATAAACTTTTCGAGAGCCCACCAGGAGGTCGCTTCAGATTCGACTTCACGCATACACGTCAATGTATCACACATAATAACGCCTTTAATGAGGAGGTTATAGAAAAAACAACAGTAGAATAGATTCAATATTTCATGAGCGATTACATTTTCTGTAATCTAACTGATTACAGAATAGATTGAACGCCAGATTTCAATAAGGCCATTTTTTTCCCTTGAAATAATATGGTGGTGTTGTTTGTATAGATTGAAGCGTACGGGAGCTAAAACGTCGGTATTTACGTTGCCAGATGAATTGCCCTGAGCAATTTCCACCTTGACATTGCGTTCGGTAGACAAGTTTAAAATCAAACTGGCCTGCTTTTGATTTTAGGCAATAGAGTTAGGTACGTTATTGACGTTAAAATGCAGCATCAGAAAGTAATCGACCCTCGAGGCGGGTTCACTGTTGGTATCTACGTAAGCTGCGAAGTATCGCTTGCAAACGATCAAAGCCTCGTGCGGATCTTTCATAGAGTTCCACTTTGAACTAAGGCCTGCTTTTCTAATAGTAAAAAATATTTGCTATATTAGTTCTTTATTTGAAAATGCCTATGTCTTTTTTTACGTTTACTTTGCTACCACGTTTTAGGAATACCTAATTTTCGGTAAGGTGAACTATTAAAAAGGATTAGTCAGAGAACGGTCTCGTGAATAATCTGGGCCTCTAAAGGGTCATTCTAAAGCGCCACATGGCTTTACAGCGAAAGTAACTAAGGCAACTTCCCTACACATTTTCGAAATGATATACAATATACATAAGAATTGTTTACGGCGCCTTTCTTGCCTGGTAAAATAACTTATATAATCTGTATTTGTACCCACCTACATTTGGGTCCTTGATTAGGCTAGCTTAACCCAGAAATATTTCAATGAACAGATTCTTTGAGGTCTAGCAATCTGCAACGATATCTCGAAGATATTGACTGGCGCCTTAACACTTTCAACAGTACTAGCGCAATTAATACTTACGCAGAGGGTTTAGGAACGGAAAAATACGTATATCGGATACAAATGAAAAGGAATTCCTGTACCTGAAATATCGGGGTTCCTATAGCATTTCATCCCTCAGCTTGCTACTAATAATTGATATTGTTATTATTAAAATCAAGTCAGAAACGTTGTTGTGTAATGTCTTTCTCCATAATAAGTATCTTACCATTTGAAAAATTGACGTTTCACCCAATTTTGCTTATTTTCGCGAAGCGTGACGTGATGGACTGCACTCATAGTAACGTACTGATGTAACCACAAGAGCTGAACTTACTTAGACTTTTATGCAGAGTTGTACAACGATGCTGCAATACTCTTAATTTTGTTGCCCTTTGAAGATATGCAACAGATATAATTATGAAGTTTTCGACTTCAACATGTAATCGAGGTAGCTACGCGTTCATTTCGCTGAAGAATCGTATATGTAGTACAAATATACACATTATGAGATTGTTGCAATTTATTTGGACTATAGTGCAACAAATAATTAATAATATAGATTTTTCTTTATATAGAGTAGTATATTGCATATAATATATAAACGCGTGAAAATAACTTTTTTTTTTCTAAATATGTCAATAAAATAATAACTTCATTATTCAGTAGCTTATTGTTAAGTAAATTATATTGAATACAAGATAAAAATAAATTTTTGGCACGCGAGCATATCGTTATTTCGATCACTTTTTGCTAATTCCAAACGATAAAAATCAACTGTTTATCTATTCGTCGCTAGTTCAGCCTATTAAGCCTAATAAAGCAATAGTTGCACTAAACTGGACTAGTAAGTTTTAACGTAACGGTAGTATTTTAAACATATTATTAAGAAAAAAAAATTATTATCAATACGTATAGTGTCTTTCTTTGGCCGTTAAGTGTCTACGTAAAGTCGTCAAAATTACGCTTTGGCGGGTCACCATGTGTCAGCGTAAAAACGTAAAGATATCATAGCCAAAATAAATTTAGAGGGCCAGTAACATTATCCCTTGGGGACATAACCAATAACATTATGAGAATTGTGAACCTCCAAGCTTTACGCTTTCATATCCGTGCTCGGTTTGGCTTATTGTTTGCCACTAGTATATTTAGCAAAATATATTTAATAAACATTTTACCCTATATATTCAATATATCCGTGCTTGTTTTTTTTTTCAATCGTTTCAAACAAGCTCATCAAACGTGGAGACCACGAATATCGTTAGCAGAGTCTGAAATCGCTACCGAAGCCGCTGTTGTTGACCTTTTGAAGGAGTTAACGATGAATGGAAACGGTTACGATACGATATCCGCATAAGCACCTCATTCTAAACTTGCAAGTAACAGTTTTCTTGCTAATACTCTATATATGCATGCTTACAAAAGGCTAACCGTAAAAAAAACCATATCAAACTAGACGCATATATGTGTCAAATGGCGCTGCTGGCGAACATGTTTTTTTATTGTAAATTTATAAATTCTGTCTATTCATACATTGTAAAGGGCTTCACGAGGGCATTCCGCTTACTAACCTAATAACATCTAGAGAGATGTAGCTGGGATATTTTACGCTCTTTCCTTTATCACCGTTTCCGAGGTCGGTCGAGAACGAATATACGTCTCTTGTTTTGACCAAAGCCCTAAAATGTATTGTTCAATCAATATGGAAACAAAAAGAAAAATCACCAATTTATGTTGTTTGCTAGTTTATTAACATTATTGTCACATTAATGGTTCGCTTTGAGTATCAACCAGAAATTGTCCATGTATACAGAAATCGTAAAGGGGTGACGCAATCACGAATTCATTAGTCTTAAATGACTTCTCAATTGGCCACTACAACTCACCCTTCTGCTGGCTAATACCCTTTATGTTAGAACTTTACCTAGAATGTTGTATACCATGCATTTAAGTAATTAAATCTCTCGTAGAGAAACGGCAAGAGATGAGACAGCGTTAGTTACAGAAAAACAAAAAAAAAAATTATGACCTTCTTCATATTTATCCTCTCTATATTCATTCGATTGATACGTTTGTAGAACTATCCATAAAATCGAACTGTTCCAGTGGCGTGCAAGAATATGCCGGATTTTTGCCTGGCGTATGGCCACTGTCTGTTCTAGACGGTATGAGAAACTGCGCGTCTTGATTAGGGTATAGATTTTTGTGTGGTTTTAACCATTGATGAACGTCCAGGTTACCTCTAGACTTCGACAATTTTTCGGCAATCGAAAATTTAACGGCGTATTTTTACTAGATGTCGGCCCAGTCTAGAGATATGATAAATTCCGCAGAGGGGGTGGCGGTGATATATCTACAAACTAATAACGCAAACTGTTGGCACACGTCGAGTATTTACGATCTGTATGAATTCTCATAAAAATGTATGAACCTCTTCTGTATATGTCATTATGTGTAAATGTCTAATTTAATGAACATCATATATATATATATACGCAGAGTACTACAGCTTCAATAAGAATCTTGTTTTTTTTTTTCATAAAAAAAACGTCTACAAAAGACCTAGCGTCTAATTACCTTAAGAATAGACGGAAAAACTTCTTTACGTAAGTACGTGGTAATAGTAAAAAAGATTAGCTCTCATTTTTGTTTCTCATAAAATCAACAAGTGCTTCCTCATATTTAGCAAAATATAATAATAATAATAATTTAGCATCCTGTAATCGTTACATGAAAGTTTGCATTTTGTCTTGCAGCTATAAATGAGCAATATTCGCTTTCTTCTATCTTATTTTCTATACATAATTTTAATTAAGTAATTATTATTATTATTATTATTATTAATTGAGCCACGTAAAAGAGGGAAGACCCGTTATCGTCAAAGCGACAAAGATATTTCAATAGGATTGTCCAATACGTAAACACCTTTGCGCTCTCCCGTTTTGCCACGTAAATGCTGGCTTGTTAGTTTTTTATAATATTATGAAAGTTCGGCTGAAAATGGAGTCGTTTCTCATTGTGCATTTGACCCCTTCATGAGTGCGACTTGCGTTCCGCTATAATGTACACGTCATAGTCGTGATTGTTTGCATCTTTATGTTTGTTTTATATTATATCTTATGTATGTTTTATGCGTGAGTTGGATTAAGAGTTAGACTTTTTTCATAGAGTGTGTATGTTTCTGTGTGTATCTGTTTAAATGTATGTTTTTGCATCGGCTTGTTGTAAGAGCGTGCAGTCAGGACGGAAACGGCTTCCTTCATAACGGCTTGGATGTAACCCGTCAATTTTGCTTTAATCAGTAATAGTCTTTTCAGTTTTTTCCTGTAAAGGCCTGACATTGGCCTATTTGTCGTACTCATAAGTCTACAGCACCCTTCGCTAATTGCTTGATTGCTAGAAGCAACTAGAATTTATCTATTGCTGCGCCGTAACAGAAAGAAGGAGGAAAGGGATAAATATACAACTCATGGCAACACAGTGTGGACATTCTCTTCAGGCTCTTCACCAAGAGGGGCACTTTGCAGGGGCAAAAATTGCAGACCTCGATGCTGACAATAGAAGTCAACCTGTGCGTTAGACAGTTGAAGCAATAGAGGCGCCTATTTTCTCGGCATCCTGTTAGCAGCTCTGTTGAATTTGGTACAGGACACGACCAGGATTGACGCTAATACGAAGAACAATTGGAAGGCGAGCGGTACGAGAACCGAGTGCAAAAGTGAGGACGGTTCATTGTAAAACAGGCCAACGGCGTGCCGATCGCCGGGCCACGCGCAATCCGCCTTCACCTGTGAAAACAAGACACACAGACGAATAAAAGTCATCGTAAGTTGCCGTGCACATACGCATATCTCTAGAGCACGAGGAAAAAGGAAGGCAGTGACATGGACCCGATAGGAATGAATACGGTACGTCTCTAGCGATATTTATTTATACATTCATCAGTAGTTATCTACCAACAGTGTAACTATGTTCGGGTATGACTGTCTCTATACGCAACCTATCACGCCCTACTTGAGGAAACCAGGGAGACCCTTTTAATACATGCAACAGTTAGATTCTATTGAATTAGCGCTGACGCAGGGACCGTTGCGGTTATTAACAACGGTGCCTTTACACCGGCTTTGGAAAAGTTAGGCGTTCTTATAGACGATTACATTTTATGGTCATGAACGAAATCTATCGTACAACATTTTTTTGTTTTACTTTTTTTGTAGATACAGCCGTCGGCCTCCGATCGGGTTGCCGAACTTCATAAGCACACTGCAGTGCGTAAACAATTGCAGTGCAACAGTAGAACACAAACATGTATCATCTGTCGTACTTTTTCCTGTTATACTCTGATTTTTCCGGGATGTTTTTGATGATAATTAGTTTGCGACACAATAGCTATACTATGTATATATAGCACAACATTACAGGCCAAACGATATGACAGAGTATGCTAGCTAGTAAAGGAGTCAGATCTGCAGGGGACATTACCTGAATGCCGTTTTCTTGAAGTACGACGGGATTTCGCGGACATTCATAAACCTGTCTCCTCGACGAGAACTCGTGATACGTCATCTCCTGCATCACCCATTTGAGTGGAGAGACATGCCTACTCCATGCCAAAAGGTACACAATGAAAATTATATTTTTGAAGTCAAATAGGCTTTAATAGTGAGCCCCATGTTCGAAAGGTGGGAAGCCTATGCTCTTGTGGAACCTACGGAAAATATCCAAAAGCTTCCCGATTCAAAACAGGCGAAAATCGATAGAACAAAATGTATTCCTCTTTGTTTTACATTTAAATAGCATAGATCTTACTATTTTTGTAATTATTATCTTCGTAGAAGTCTCAATTACCTGAGCCATTGAGTGAAATAGCTAAGCTCGTTAAGATGGACAATCCATCCTCCCGAAAAGATGAAGATGCTTGAAAGCCCCGCAGTCAAAAGCGCCGCAATATGGCGTCGAGCTGAAACCAACGAGAAGCACATTGCCGCCGATCGCAGTAGTGATAGGTAGAGTAACATGAATCCGAGGAATGGCAAGAAATTAGAAATGTGCTCTTGCGAAGGTATTCCAGCCATTGAGTAGGCCGGAAAAACGTAAGCGCCCATTATCGATAACGACATCGGGATTGAGTAGGTCAACTGCAAAATCAAGCGGCATATTGTACGATCAGTCCTCACTAGTATCCTAGCACGGTTTATTTATTAGTGACGATATTATTCGTTTATGTATATGCAAGCCGTAATCGGTGTTCAGTTATTATAGATCACTTGCCAGATAACTTAACTGTCGAAGGCACAACTTGACACACGGAAATGTTCAACGTACCGACCTGAGTCGTCGTTATGTAGGCAATTCACAAATCGTTTTGGATCACAGATACCCATCTATTTTGAAAGTACTCGGAGTCGCTCTAGTAAAACTACCGATACATAAGTGTGCTACGTCTCGTAAACAGTTCGTCAAACAAATGAAAAGCTTTCTATTTTTTTAGATAAACGGGACCCAAAACGGGGGCGCAGTCCAGGCCGTGTCTTCATTGCCCTGGTTGATTGGAGAAGCTAGATACAATACAGATCAGAAGTCAGTGTAATCCGTTTTGCCAGCCGACCCCTAACGTACCCGTGGCAGTTTTTAACGTTTAGTTTTTTTCAGGGAAAGTAAAACTACTTCTATTACCAGTCAACGTTCTATGCCGGTGACTGTACGTTCATATCCTAAAGAAAGACCTTATACGAAGAGCGGCCTCTGATACAAACGGATTCTCAGTGGCTCTCAACATGGTATCAAGTCAACAGCAAGACTCGTTTGTACGCCGCCGGGATCCAGATGATGATTTCCTAATAACAAATTATGTCGGTTCGGATGTCTAAATATCATTAGTGATCGATACAACCACCGTTCAGCACGCTAAACGACTTCAACTACAATTTGCAATGAGCAAAAGTTCTACGATTCTCCTTATGTAGACTATCTTCTACTGTATATTAATGGCTCCCCACCTTGTCAGCGTAGATAACTACTGATCCGAATTTGAACGGCGATGTTGACAAGTTCGTCCAAGTACGCAACATCCACTCCTACATCTGATTTGTCCTACTATTAAAAGGAGACTACCGATGTCCTCAGTTGATGCAATGCTTGATTACTGCCACTACATTTAAAAGTATAATCAAATTAGATCAACCTTTCTGGAATCTCTGAACGCAATATTTCTCCATTTCAGATTTTTCCATAAATATGCAAGACCGTATCTGAAAGAAACCGTTTGAGACTGTGTTCCGCCTATTGTGGCATGATGAAATTACGGGTCAAATCACTCGCTCAATTGAACACTCAAAGAATTAGGAAGTTTAAAACGATCCAAAAAGGCAACCTAATCAAAAACAATTGGCAATAAAATGTCACGGTTGATGTCACGGTACAAAGATAACAATTGATGGACTTATTGATATATCCGGCTGATCAAGCCTCCAGAGGTGCAGATGCGTGCCTTCGTCTGTATTGTACTGCAGAAAAAACATTAAATCGAGTGTTTATAATCTGCTGCAGTCTTCCTCAAGTAGTACGGAACGAAAATACAGTCCTTTATCATGCAAGTAGATCAGAACGTTCAATGGACGACCACCTGTTATTTCCTGTTTTTTTTTTTTGTGAGTTCTTATTATGCAAGGTCACTGACACTCCGAAGAATAGCACGTGTCATGAATGTCGTCCCAACAGCTACAACCTCCCTTTATATGAGAAATGACTCAAACTGAGAATTGCCCTGACTGCTATTATAGATTTCAATGGGCTGTTTGGCTGGCATGAACGTTTCATCAATCCAATAGTTTTTATGATTGGTTTTTTTTATACGAAGCATTTCTGTCTCGATAGAACAGCGCATGGCAACAAAATCCCATGTATATATTAGAGGCAAAAACTCCAGTGGCGGTGCATTTTTGCGGTTTCGGTCCTTTTACAAATCCGACATCAGCCCTGATTCAGTCAAAGGTGTCTGCCAGCGCTAGGCACAAACAAGAGAAAAACCACCAACTTTGCGCAACACTTGGGTCCTGATCCAGCCCATCCTTCGTTCAGCCAAACACAACGAAAATAAAAAAAACAAATGCTTTAAACGCTAAATTTTGTTGTTTCGCCTGTTCACATTATTCTATCTATAATATATGCAACCGTTACTTCTGTGTGAGTGCGATGTTTAACAAAGCATATAGTAACGCAGCAATCCTGTTAGAGATGTGAGTTCGACGATTTTTCGCGACGCTCACCCAGACAACAGGGGGCGCCTCCGATAGCGAAACCAAATAAATGTTTTATTGACGACAGACTAGCCCTGATCATCGATATAGTTTCGGATCGAGAGAATGTTAGGGAGAGAGATTGAATGTGTATGTATGGAAATTCGTAAAAATAAGATCATGGATTAAGTGATCTAATGCGTCAGTACTCGGAAGTTGTGCCCAGCGTGCAACTAGACGATCGGTCGACAGAGAAATGGTCACCACAACAATGGAGGATCTTGCTGTTGTTCTGCAGCATCGCAGCCCGCCGCCACGGACAGATCCGAAGGCAAAGAAAAAGTGATAGAACAATATATGCGCACGGCGTTCCACGTACACAGTTTAACATACTTGCTGTTTATAGCACTATTCGTAAAAGTCATTCACTACCATACGTATATATAAAGACGACAGAATAAACAGTAATCGTTGTAGCGAATTAAAATTAGCCGGGCCAATATCTAACTAACAAAGGTAGGAACATATCCGGGGCCAGGGCTAGCTTTCCGGGCGAGCAAAATCGCGCTTACTACAATAACGCCATCTGGTCATCTCGCTATAGCCCGTATTTATGTCAGCCATCCATGCTCGAATGTTTCTTGGCCGCCTTTTGCACGACTCTTGTCCTAAACGTTACGAGATATGGTTCGCGTGTTATATTGCCAGGGACAACTAACTGTATCACAGCACTGAGTACGCCGTAGTTACACGATACCGCAACAAAATGGTTTTTCGTGTCGCCCCGAAACACCAGCTGACGAGCTGGCTGGCCGGCCGGCCGGCCACTGAGTCCGGTCGCGCCGGGGTGAAAATTATGCCGCGAGAACTTCCATTGCTGGTCGGTTTCATCTGCACACGACGCCGTTGTACGGCCCATGTCAGGAAATAAGAAGCGGGGTTGCTATAGAAAAAGACAACGAAAAGCGTCAGCAGAAGTAGCGCAAACAGCGAGCGAACTTTCACGTACCTTTGCAACGACGTATGCGAAGCCACTGTAGAGCTTCTCGTGGATATCTTTGCAAACAAACGTCTTTTCTCGCCACACTAAAACCGAAAGAGACAGACAAACAATCAGTTAACAGAACGACATGTGTGATGCTAGACGTGCTAAATGAAAAAATTTGAGAGAAAAAAAACAAACTGGGTACAATGCTGGACGATGTATACAGCTTTAACTGAAACATTACCACTAATACGACGTGTAGCCTCAAAGAAGGCAGTGAGGCTATAGAATTTAATTGCCTAGAACATTGAAAAGAAGAACGTGGAGGCTGTCGGCATCATAAAGGGGTTTTGTAACAAAAAGAATAAACTTTGCCCGCGCTGACTCCAGACCGTTCAGCGTCTTTGCCTAGTTTTAGATCGCGCTTGTCTTCGGTTTGAGAATTGTCGGCGTTACCATTATCATGGACTAGTAGAAGCAGTAACAGGTGTAGCTGTACCAATGGCAACTTCAGTATATGAAAGGACAGAAGTGAACAGCCGACTAAATAGCGGTATTGGGCATGGGAGAGACGAAGAAAATAGGTGAATTATATCGCTACATACATTTAAGAAGGAGCACACATCTATGAATAATAATAATAATAGCATTGACTGAGTCTGTCTCACCAGAATAGATTGCGCGCTTCGGAAGCGGTAACCATGGCGACGTGGTCTAAATTTACCATGGGGCTAAATAGCAGCTAAAAGTAAACAACTAAACTGCCGATCATCTTAACCTAGCGGCCACAGCGGTGAGAAAAATGGGGAACGCTGATGTTTGATGACTGGAAGAAAGTAAGCCAAGCAAATCGGCAAGGAGAACACCCACAATTGACCAAGGATTTACCGGTAAATATAATGACGACAGCAACGGCAGCGTCAAAAATCTACGACCGGAAACAGTTGGTGCCGAGTGTCCGAATACGAACCGAATCGGCTAATGCAATGTCATCGACTTCCTCTTTACTGGATTAAAATTATGCTTGTATAAAGCGCATAGTAATGACTCTACATTAGGTTCAATCAGCAGTCTACAGGGTTCGACCGCACAAGAGAAATATTTGCTTCTACAGCCGGTGACCGGATATACCATATGGTTTTATTATAACGATCAATTGAAAAGCTCCAGGTACAATCGTTATTAAGCAAATGCTGTGTTTATCATATACACACCATCTGTAATCATGTTGAGCAGCATCGGCCATAAGCAGAGCGCCAGTAGCGAGTGGTAGAATCCGTATCGGTCTGAAACATGTTCTTGTTCACGACCGGCACGAACGTTCCAGAAGACGAAGCCGACGAGAACGCTCATGAGCGCGGCCAGCATTAGGTCTCGGAAGAAGTGCACAACGTTGTATGGGAACGTGTAGATCATAGCGCGAATCCACAGGGCGAGACTTTGACCGAAGAAGCCGGCTCGTCGCACCTCATGTGGGGTAATGCCAGGCGGTCCCGGATCACTCAATGATGGGTGATCGTCATTACGGCGTCGATATAATTCGACGAGGTTTTCAACTCTTTGACTAGACTCGAGCATTGCCTCGGCGGACAGGTTGTCCAAGGTTACGAGGTCGAGATAGTAATCGGAGGGGTTCTTGTACGGCGGACATGGGAAGTCAATGTAGGCAAAGTAGTCGAGCAACTCTCGGCGCCGCCCGAAATACACCATACGACCGGTAGACACGATCGCGATGCGGGACATCATCGTGAATATTTCGTACGTCGGCGGATGAACTGTGATAATCACGATGCGGCCCCGGGATGCCCACTGTCGTAGATAGTCGATGAGAAAAAAAGAATCGAGAATATCCATACCTTGGATAGGCTGGTCGAGTAGTACAATGTCCGTGTCCAGCAATAGTTGTGTTGCTACATTCAAACGTCGTTTTTCACTTTCCGTAAGATCAGCAATACGCGTATGCCGTAGCTGACCTAAGCCAAGATCCTCCAAGAGGGCGTTGATACGCTCCTTCGTATCCCTGATCGGCCCTCCGGGTTCCTGTACAAGACTAGTGAAAAGCATCCATTGACGAACCGACATATCGGGACATAGCTCGAAATCTTTACCAACGTAGCAGACGAAGTTTTGCAGCTTTTCAGGTTCCATAAGGATGCCGTTATAGAGGAACTCTCCGCGTACCTTATCGCCCCAACGTTTCTGTACTCGATTGCTTAGTATGTCAAGGAGAGTAGTACCCTCATTTTCAGAGGTAGCCACAACAGCAAGAATTTCGCCTCCGCGTACCTCAAACGAAAGACCTTCGAGTAGAAGTAGCTTAGTTCGGGCACGTCCGCAGAGTTTCTGTCCCCACGACGAACGATCTACCTCGAAGGTAAGCCCACGAACCTGAAGATGTGGGTGCTTTAGCGAGCCTATTTCGTCATCTGGTCCACCCGGTAATGAGTTGTAAAATGAATCCCGATTGAATGGGAGCTTGTTGATATGCCGAGAACTTGCCGAGATATGGGACATTGCGCTTCGTCGCCCCTAAAAGTGAAATAGCCCAAGTCAACTTTACCATAAGTTATCCGACGTAGAATCCTGATTCAGCCTTAGTACCTCGAGTATCGAAGAAAGCCGTTCTCACTATAGTAAAATTCATTACGTGAATTAATATAATTCAATTAAGATAGCATATATCGAGAACATCTATGAGAAGAATATGCATTGCGTTTTTCAAAATGAGTAAAACTATTGTGTTTCGCGTCTCTACTAGGTGATGTATCAAAACTTTTCGTAGCTGAATTGAGCAGCTAGAATGTGTACCGAAGACGAACACATGACTGTCTTTGAGGGGCAATTTTTGGCTTCGCAAATTAAAGTTTCAAGGGTAGTTGTCGACCATTAACTAACCTCCGGTATGTTCTGCATGCCATTAATCCCGTTCATCTTAGGCGGCTGTTGAAAAGTGTCCCAACGAGATGATCGATGACTCTGTGCGTCTTCTTGAATTAAATCCGCTTCGCTACCGGACCTATGAGGCGTCCTTTGGCCTATCCGCCGTGAGCGAAGAAAAGAGCAACGTTATTTAGAATTTTATCATTTTTATCAACACATAAATTGCAAACGAAATCACGAGTTGTTAAGCTGTATACACTAAATAAGGCAACTTTCCATAACATGTGTTACAAGCGAACTCGGTATTCGGAACGCGTAGAGCGTACGGAGCCAGTGAATAATATAATACTGCAGAGTGATCAAGAAAAGATATGGTTTAATATAAAAAAGAAACGATAGACATTAGACAAGGCTTTAAGACCTAATTTACTTGCTTTTAATAATCTACGTTGAGATTAAATCTCGCAGACAACAAACTACTGTTTTGTATACAATGAGCTATAATATAAAGCATCCTTTAGTCAAACTGTTAATTTGTATAGCATATATAACAACACAAACTGATTTATTATGACTAAACGTCATAGTACATCAGCTTGTGTTGACATTTGTAATGGTTAGAAACAGTTAGTCAGACAGCTATATACACGACTCGAGTTGGCTATCCAGGCTGTGAAAGCCCTTGTCGTATGCTACAAGTAATAATATTGAAAACGTTAGTGGCATTGATCAAGGTTAGCGAAGGCGTTAGGATAACGGTCAAGTAGCTGGAACTATTAAAGCAATGAAAAGGTATCCGACATGTCACTTTTGCTATATGACAAGAACATATATAATGCAACATGACCCATTTACGTGTTCATGAATCTATCTGTACGCTTGGGGTAATCTTTTGTGTGGCCAAAGTTTAACTGGAACTAGGTTTCAGATGTAAAGCTATATAGGTCTATTGGCAAATCATGTGCGACTTATTCGTTCATAGAATGCGGCAACAAAAATCGTAAACATGATCATATTAGAATCAGCTATCGTCGACCGTTGTCGACTTTAGATTGTCTTTGTTCCAAAGGTGTACGTAGATAGAATAGGACAGGTTTCGGACGTCAGATCGACCAGAAACGTACGTCGATCGAAAGTATCAAATCCATTGTTAGACAGACGAATAGCCCCCAACGGTAGTTTATCTATGCACGCATAGTATATGCCGATCCATGTATGAAGGTAAATATCACAAACCCTATATTTTAAGTGCTCACCCGCTTCTACGTGTGTATATAATAAGCAAGACACCATGCTTTAGAGTAAAGATTCTAAAAGGGAAAAATGGTGCAAATTGCCCCACAATACCAGTACATACATAGGGCATCAAAAAAAAAAAAACGATATCAATCCGATAAAAAAGTGTCTGTGCAACATTTTCTAATTTTTTAACGCCTAAGTATACCCCCAAAGACTCGAAAGTAAAGGAGAGAGAGAGAGAGAGAGAGAGGGGGGGGGGGGGGGGGGGGGGGGGGGGAGAAAGGGGCAAAAGAGGAAGGGTGGGAGAAAAAGACTGGAAAGAAATAAATGACCGACAGAAAGGGGGGAGTAAAATGGCAAGATGAGCTGAGAAAAAGCCGTTGCGCAGGTCGATATTGCGTGCAAACACTCCAAGTGCACGCTTGAATTGACGGCCATGTGTAATATCTCAGATGTCGGCACCGTTTACCTTTTGTTACCTCACTGTTCCAGCTTACCATAACCGAATCCGGCCAGATGCGTCTGAACCCTATCATGATGATGGTGGTAATCTCTATGTGGCTGTTGACTGTTGTGGTGACGCTGCTGCGGCTGTTGCAGAATCATGTAGTGCTCGTTGTTCGGCTGTCGATTGTAGACGCCATAGTGGTGATTCACGTAGTTAATATTCATGTGGTGGTAAGGGTCATTAAATTGGTATCTACCTCGAGATTCATGGCATAGCTGCTCCCTCGCCGTAAGTTGTTCGGTCGATAGTTGGTCATGAGCAGTGGCTTGCAAATGGGTATCGCCCCCGGTCGGCTTGCGGCGACCATCTTCCGAACTGTCGTAACCTGACGATGTATCTGCAAGAACGACCATTATTAAATAATAACAAAACTGGTAAAATAATACAAACTCTCCAAATTCCCGTAAACAACTGGAATCGAAAGGGCGGGATCGACGAAATTGGAGCTGAAGGTTAAGTTATTACTAAAGGCTTATGTCTGTATAACAAATGATCAGGTTCTTTTATTTTAGTTTAACCACGGTTCCAGCATATTGACCTGTCTTAGAACATCACTTGATAAAGACATGACGCTAATCAAGGTTGTCATTTGTAAAAGTATCATTTATCGTGCTCATTTATTAATAGAAACTACCGAAAAACAGGTACGTTGATGTATAATCTGCATGCTGCAGCAATTATAACGGTACTAAGTCAAATAATCTACCAAGCGAGGTAGCGTTCTAACAAAAAGAGTAATTTCAGTGGTTGTCAAAGTAGGCAGAAAAATTGCAGCAGTTCCTGTTACTTTTGGCGCATTCTATGTTCCGATCTTTACGTCCGGTATCGCCGTTAAGCATGGTTCCATCAGAGGGACGGGTGGCTCCCAGCATGAAACGAAGTTTATCTATGTCCGGGTTTGAACCTAGATACTTTTGGCACCCAGCAGCGGGTCTAGCTCCCTCATAGACAGTATTTTAGAGGAAAGCGCCTGAACTTCTGACCATCCTCGTTATTTTTCTTGTTCATTGAGAAGCTCCTTTTGCTTATAGGGATTTAGCCTAGTGAGGTTTCCAATAGACGGCGCTCAGTTGTACCAACTTGCCGATATTTGTCAGGTTTGACGCGTAAACCTGTCAAACGAGCGCCGTCGGTTTGACTGCTAACGAATTTCCAGCTTCCCAGATTTTTTTCTCAGTTAAAGAGAGCAGTTGAATTTCGGGCCATACGAGCGCTATTCTAATTTTTTCAGTGAACTGGATGAATCTGATCACGAATGGGCTAGTACAAGCGTTGACCTTAAATTTTCCAATTTGCATAAGAAACTGGCAGAGGACGCCAGTCTGAAGGTTCTGCTACAAAAGAAAATATGCTATAAAATAACAGTCCAAGCTACTGGCAGTGGAAAAACAACTGTTGTCTAATATTAATGGTAAGGCCTGACGGAGTCATTTGTTTTTGCACTTATATTACCAGTGTAACCCATTCCTGTTATGTGAGGTTATTAAACCTGTTCGTTTTTAAAATTTACACTCTGAAGGGTTCGAGTATAGGGTAAAAGACTATAATTAGAACGGAAGTGGTCGAGAAGTCAATATTCTCGCCAGCACATGTTTGCTTTTGTCATAAACCTAAAAACGTCGACCATCCCACATGTATGAGTATCTAAAACTATTAATCATATGACAGAATAGAAGTATTTACTACATTGACGTCGGTTTATTTTCTACTTTGGTTCATTCGAATGTATATCATAAAAGTATCATATTTAAATACAGAATACCAATTTTAAAGATATTTCATATAGCATGCGGCCAAATCCTCGTTGTTTCTTTAAGACTCTCGCGGAATCCATGGAGACTAAAACGAAAAAAATAAGACGAACTAGAAATCATCTTAGCTTTATAACTCTTGCCTTCACTGAGCATTTCAGAATGTCTAATTAATGTTGTTGATTTTGAATGCTAATGGTACTGCGGTAGCATTATGCCAGTGTCTCAGTTGATCTCCCACTGACCCTTGATAAGATTAGCCGTTGCCGTAAAACGGCCGTTTGTTCCGCCCGCTAGCCCGTTACCGGATGAACTCAACGTATGAACTCTGGGCAGGCCGAATCGAAGATATGTCTGGATGTTTGCTGCCAGCTCGGAATTACGGTCACGAGGTCCGTACTTTGGATGATTCAAAATAGTCTGCACGGTCGATTCTCGTAACTGGAAGTTGCCTGAAAAGTAAAATAATCAACAGTTGGAATTCAGGCAAAAAATAAAAGTTCGACAATCTAACAGCGGTAGTAGAAACAGTTATCTAAATATGGTGTTATCAAAATTCAATTTGTGCGCAAAAAAAAGACACGTATTCGTTTAACGTTAGAGGCCGTAGGTAGATAGAAAGACGTTTCATCAAATAGATGACGGCGAGTACCGTGTTACCAAAGCTAGCTATCGTACTCTCGTGTCCTGTGATAACGCAGACTCAAGAATGAAAAAAATAATCGAACAAACAATAAATCATATTGATTTTATGATAGCCAGTATTACCTATACTTCTTCTCATGTGTGGTTATTTGCAATTTAATGTACCTTAGGGGCCAATGGGTATTAATTGTTTGGGTGGGTTCTTTACGCTTGCATAGTAATATGATTAAAACACATAGTAACTCTGAGGTATAATTAGGTTTATCTAAAGATTCTGTTTGTTTTTTTTTTGTTGGCTTTTTATGAATTTGAAAAATCGATCAGAATTATTTTTTAAGCCGAGAGTGCCGTACATGATGCTCGTAAGTCATTTTTAATCAGCAACTTTTCCACCCTGTTGAAGGTCAAATATGAAGTGTCAAAAATGCTGTTTCCTGGAGCTATTTTAGAGCCTGGAATAATGGCGAAAGTTTGCAATCCAGACAAGATGATGTCAACAGCTGACAAATGACAAGCTTTCAAATGCCTGATTACGGTTCATTATCGGTGAATTCAAAAGGAGGAAAAGAATGAACAAAAATGGTCATCACTTATACACTAAGCGTGTATCTCATACGTTACTCGACATCGTTCTGCTATCTTAATACGCAAGTGAACCTCGGTTATTTCCTCGGCTAATCCGGGTCAGTGATGAGTCGACGTCTTTTCTCGGAGTGGATTGACAGAACGTAAACGATAATGAAAATATCTTGTCGTTACTCCCAGATATCCTGCCACTTAATGCGTATGTATGTATGTATGTATGTACCAACTAGTTCGCTAGATAACGACATATCCTAATCTACATGCCTGCAGGATGTTTCGTGGTCCTGAAGATCGCACCCCTCATCGCTATTATGATCATCGGACCGCTTATCATGCCTAGCCTCGCAGTTTGCAATAAAATCCAGAGAAACATATTATATAGCTCAGCTGCATACAGTTACAATCAAACAAGTACAAAAAGCCAACACGATATGCGTCTGACGTAGCGTCATGTGTCATTTCGTAAGTGTGTCGATATGTCTGATGTCATCGCGCCAGATCCGACCGCCTGCCGTTATCGCTGCGGTACCGCGTAGACTAACGTACCGATCGAGGCATCAGAAGCGCATGGAAAGAATCTCTGCTCATCTTAAATCGTCCACAATTCTCTGGACATAGCTATCTGCCATTTTGTGCTATTTGGTACTCGCAACTATCTCCATCACGTGTGGAGTTCTAAAAACATCACTGTTGTTCTAAGTATAAATAAGTTGTGATAAAATCTAAAAAGCCTTGATCGGCGTTGTCATTCAGTCGATATTTAGCCTGGCCTATGTGAATAGATATACATATGTATAGACGATAACTGGCCTGATGGGAAGGATGATCGAAACTAGCTAAATGATCGTTACATCAGCTAATAGAAACCATCTAAGCTATTGTGTTTTTGAAATACTAAACAAATCTTGAAGATGTATTTACTCGTCAATCGAAAAGCAAGCTTTCAGAAAAATCCGTCCATTGAAGATCTTGTGAATATCTGCAAGGTTTATCTGGCACCAGCCTATATAACAGCAACTGTACTATTTAGCTAGATGCTTACGTAGATTAGGCTCTTGTAATATATAATTCAAACAAAGATAAACGTATATATGGAAATATACGTTTCCTAGTGGAAGAGTTTCAGCTATTATAAATAAGTTCAGTTACTGGCAAACATTGGCATGCTTTCTGTTTAATATTTATTGCTTATATTATTTTATATATATTATTATATAATATCCACTAACGTGATGGCAGCTACTAGGCCTAATACTGTAACTAAGAATAAGTAAACATATGTCGACGGTTCCTGATAAGACGATTAAACTATAGCTATTATATAAAGGCGATAACATTATGCGCTCGCCGTTCTTTCCCTCGGGAAAAGATCGCTTTGCTATAGACAAGTACGGACCAATAATTGGCCCTCGGTCAATACTCTTCACATCCGTTAGGGAAATGTAGAAATCACTTATTTTATCCGTCCGTCTGTCATTCGGTTAGGAATAGGACGTCCATAGTAAAGTCTCTACAGTCATATAAACTAATTGAATTTTAGTTGGATAACACCCAATTAAGCTACTGCCGATGACGACCGCGACCACGGTGATGTTTAGGTTACATCGTGTATGGTAGCTTCTGTATCAATATCATGTTAAGAGTTTTGCTTTTTTCTGGCGACGTCAGAACGAATTAAAAATATACGACTATGCCCATGTAATAATGTCAAACAGTGTTGACTAGGTCAAACAAACACGCCGATCTGAAATTCATCAATTGAATGAAAAAAAAAAAAACAGAGAAAAATATCAGATAAGAAATAAACCGTGAAGCTAGTGGTTCGATTGTATATTCTTTTCGATTTATAGCGGACCGACCAATAAACACAGATGACCACAAAAACGTTCCACACAAACTGTTCAATGGAAGTATATTTCGGGGCAAATCTATACCGAAACATTTATCTCTAATTTTCTGTTTCGAAGATTATTTGATTTCCCCTATATATATATATATATATATATATATATATATATATATATATATATATATATATATATCGCTCAACTAAGATATATATCGCAGTTAAATAAACGATATTCAGTTAATGCCAAATCGCAGTACCTTAACCGATTCAGACTCTCAGTAGAAAGAAATGAGGTGGCAAAAAAAAACCGAAAAATATTGCACAGCGATTTCGTCGCCAGCGTCCCCGTCAGCTAAACATACTGCAGTATTATATTACGATAACGATCATGTTTATGAGCCTTTTTTTCGGTGGGTTTCTTTGCCCTTGCATTTTCTGATGCGAAGCTTAAAGCATGCTGCTCTTTCAAATGAATCTCGCCATTGCTACATGTCTGTTTGTCTGCCGGGCAAACATTTTTTACCGAGCGTTTATAGCTTTTTTCAACTGATAGAACCGTTCATGGCGGGGGTCAGGCCGTTGACTAAACAAAATATGTGGCTGAATAAAGAAGGCAACGAAAGAGAGTGCCATTGTGGTCGTTGTTATCACAAGACACACGCACGTAAACGTTGGCGTCGGCTTGAAGAAACGAAGTTTAAGGAAAAAGATAAAGGAACGAACGTCACACAGATGTTTTCAGGATGTGCTGAGGCCTGAGATATGGGGCTTGACAATGACATGGGTCTCTCTCTTGTTAGGGCCGATAACAATAGTAAGTGTGCAAGCGGGGCATTAACGGTCGCTCGATGTTTCCATCCGCGGCAGCGCAACGAAATGAAGCTTATTGCATCATGGCAGCAGCTGAATTGTAATGCGCTGTCTGTTTCTAGCATATTCGAATTCTTTCCTGGTTATGGTAGCTACAAAGGAATACGGCATTTGAATACTGCATGAAGAAGCACCCAACTTAAAATCTAAATAATTTGTCTAAAGTTTAATTCACTGTATACGTTACATCACACAGCCACACATCTGACGTGAACTTGAACTATTTTAGAGGCGCTACGCGCTACTGGTTTAAGCAGATCCTTTATCGGTATACTGTCGCAAATATACCAGATATAATCAACCCGCAGTTTTTCCGGCTTTACTAGAAGGCTGTCTATAAATAAAACAACGATTTCAAGGTTGCCAACAAATCACCCTCCACTGGCATTTACCAAGGACGAGGAGTTGCTACCCAGGAAATGTTGTGTAAATCCATGAGAGATGTAAGTCCTTTCGCTTATCTTACCATTTGCTAACTATCGCTTTTCTAAAATACCGTAACGAACTTACCAAATGGCCGCTGAGACTTTTCTGTTGTTCCTAGGGCCGAGTCAGTGAAGTCCGAGTTGAGATTCTGCCTGTAGATGCTCCAGGCATGCAGGTCCTCCGTTGCTGGATTTTGCCTGAAATGCCTTAAGCACCAAAAAGGTGCATTGGTAAGCCTAATTTGCGTTTATCTCGTATATGCCTCACGTATGTTCAGATCTAACAAGATTAGAACATGCATTATACAACATGGCCTTTCTTTAATAGCCCTGAAGCAGCTCTGCTCGACAGCTTCGCTGCACACCGATATGAATATCGTCAAATGGCCGCGTCTGGTCCCGTTTTTTTCTAACGTTTTTGGCAAACAAATTTCATGTCGATGCCTGAAAGCTAAAACGTAACTTTTCCAAAGTTGACGTTTGATGGTTGTTTCTATACCGGTTCAGACATTATTTTCGTTTATAGTCATCATGACGTCAGTATAAAAAGAGTAACAAGTGAAAAAAACAAATATATACATATATACGAAGTCCTTGGTATTTTTGTGGCTATTGCGCGTATAGGAGTACGTTGCCATTAGGACTGATGGCAATGAAAGTAGCGCAAATCGTCAGAGTAGAGAACTATACACGCACAGGACCTGTACGTGTTTATCCGGGATGTTGATCTCCCATATAAGTTAAAAGCACTTCCAAAAAAGGTTAGAGGATCATGTTAGCCTAACGGTTTCGTACATGACCTTCGTACAGCCTCACCACCGGACTTCACGACCCTCACGAAGCTTGCACGCGACTACCTGATGCATCGTTGTATGGCTCAAGCTGAATTGTTGTCGGTAAGCTTGGCTAGCTCTAGCAAACTGGTATCCTTTGTGATGTATACACAGCCATTTTCAAATAAAAGTTCCTCAGATTGTGCGTTATGGACTTCAAAGACTTTAAAGTAACCAATATCAGTAGAATGCAATATGGATGCGCTCGTCTGAATCACATAATTCTTTTAGATTCAACACAGGAACAAAGCTAGGCGCTGTTACGGATGGCACAAATCTAGTCTGACACGTGATCATGAAAAGACAAGTGGTCATATAAGTATTCAAGAACGGTACCGCGAATCCGAGAGTCGTCCCATATCGATTTCGCCCTGGAAGGTGGTAACCTAATGTTTATGTTGCCGCCATCTAAAGCCTGACAGCAAGACGAGCTATTCCAATATACGCTTCGATTTGCGATAATCTGCAATTAGCGAAAGGATCAGATGCAGTAAACATAGAAGCGCGTACGATCGTTATCAATGGACCTGCTCGCAGTATTCGATCAAGAAGGTCCAGTTAAAGCAAACAATGTTTCACTAACAGAGCAGGAATAATGGGAATAATCAGGCAATTTTGTGACAGCAAACGTAGGGCGACGCTCGTTCGACTATTATCACATGTGTAGAAATGTGTTGACAATTTCAGGTGCCGGTTTAGAGCGCGGACGACTCTAGACCTTATGCTGACCATCTACCCGAGTGCCAATAATAAACTGTACTTTAGATATTTCCTTCACTACCATTATGTGGAGCGCGTCGCCAGGCGAATACTGTGCTCTACCGTGTTAGCTAAGAAAATTGCCCTTTATCGATATCTTAGTATCGTGCAGCTTCAGCCACAGCCGAAATAGGCTAATCCTCATTATTCTTCGATCGACTCGTCGTGTCTAAGCCAATCGATTCGACCGTAGTGAATACACCGCGTCGACCCCCATACGTTGCTGATGGATCGACGCGTCCCTGACATTGCCCTATCATTTTCCTACGAATTCCATTCCGTACTAACAGACCTATGTATAATGGCAGTCAGAAGATCCTGAGAGATTGACACAACAGATCACCTCGATAGTTACTGCATAAGTAATTTGCATGACGACTATTATCATTTTGTCGAAATCCCCACATTTTTATACGACGAAAATTTTTTTTTAATGATCATGACCTATATATCATGTTGTATCCATGCTTTTTTTCTTTCACCTTAGCCTCGCAATGTTTGGACATTACCTGTACATGTGTGAACTCGCCTTTTGAACGTTATTATTACTATTATTCTGTGTTGGTGTGTGTGTGTGTGTGTGTGTGTGCATCGCGGGGGCATCATAGCGGAAAGTTGTACCATTTACAAGGGTATGCCAAGCCAAACTAATGCGATACGCTGATGGAAATGACTGCGACCCTCATATAAGCACAAACTATGTGGCATCTCCGGTCTGTCTGTTAATTTTTTGGCTATTGATCTGGTAAGAACCGTCAGTGTCAAGGCTGCGAAGATTCGCCCTTGATTGATTGTTTGATTGATCTATGCAATAAATTGGAAGTAGATTGCGTGATGATGCATCTACTCGTAGCATCAATCTATGATTTGTCTGCAATCGCAAAAATAGCATAACAAACAAAAGGCTAGAGTATTTTGTTGTATGCTAACACTTGTCTCGACAAAAATCATCCATCATTGAATCAAAAAAAAGCCTTATTGACGGTGAAAAACATCGTATGATTGTAGATTATCATGACTCCGGTTTGACTAACAAAAAGGCCGAGACCAAGCTGCAGTCGTCATGCTGTGCTACATAGGATACCTAACCGGCACAGTACACTGAACTTTTAGATATGATGTACATTACACTATAAATATTTCTCTCGCAAAATATATTGGCACCGGAAACGTTAACTGCAGAAATCAAGAATGATTTCTAGATCATTGGACTGACACGTAGAAGAACTAGGTCGGTCAGAGCGCCCATTTTGTCACGCTATTCAGTTTCTATGGCGTTCATCACGTGTCTGGTTTTACGTCGGCTTCCCATGAATCCGATGGAAGCGGCGCATATTCAACAGTTGAACAAACCTGTGACAGACATCATACGTTACGATCTAGTGCCATGATCAAGAACATACGTGAAGGCATCTTGTACGTCCGTTTGTAGGTCGTTGAGGGCTCGATTACGTAAGTAAATGACAATATTCAACACTTGTCAGTACAAGTTAATCGACTGGTTGCTCGGTTGAGCCATTCGCTGACGAGCGAATTCTCAGGACCAGAACTTTAACTTTCAATTAAAAAACAAATACATGTATTTGCAAGCGATGAAATAAAAGGATTAAACGCATAGGGGAAATGCATGTGTATTCATACAAATGTACTTGAAATTACGTGCGACACGATGATTTGTTTTCTTTTTTTACCTGAAGTCAGGTGTCGCAGTGGCTGGCGGTACGGAATATTGTCGGTGTCTATTCGAGGGATGTTGGCTGTTGTTGTTATTATGACTATTGTTCTGGTTGTTGTTCGGAGCGCCGTTCGCTCCCCCGCCGTCGGCGTCCTCCCACATGATGTCGGAAGGAAGTGCCGTCGACTCCGATTCGGGACCCACAGTTGATGGGGCCGGCTGGAACGTAAATGAACAGTTTAAGAAAACCTTTAATATATTTAGGTTAAGAAATATCTGAACATTGCGCTTAGCACATAATATCATGGCAGCTCCGTTATAAATATGTTAATAATAATAATAGTCATAAAGCTAAGACGAATACACAACAAAATGGGCGATTAAACAAGAGGTGCACCATTTTCAGAGATCTCTGCCAGAAATCTCTGACCGCTATATGATCCAAATGAGTGCGTTCACTCTGAGTTTCATATTTTTCCTCGTTCACAGCTGTCCACGTGGATGATTTATTAGAAATTAACAGTTTGCACAATGTGTGCATCGTTATATTATGTATCTATTCAACCTACGAAATGTAGATATAGAAGCTTTCATTAGATAGTGCTTTGGAAATACGTTTTTAGTGAAAAAAGCAGCTTTTCGTCAACACATTATTCAATCTATGGCGAAAGATGCTGTTCCTTTGATAAGGCGTGTATAGTGTAAGGTTTAAAGGGTTGCAATCGTGTGGTCTACCTTTCACTGACACGTTTTTTATGTCCGTTATAGAACAATTTTGTTTTCAAATCGGATTGGCCAATCAAGTATATTTACACTTTTGTATATTACTGCACGTAAAGCCGAGCCGTTATGGATGTGGCTGGCTTGTGGAAGTGACACAATGTATCGATGGCGACACCAGAAAACTAATACTATTCTTCACGTTAGCGATCTACCTGTCCTATATCCGTCATTGTCATTGCCATCGATAGCGTTTTATCTGATAGATGACGAAAGAGTTGGATAGACCTAACAAAAACCCCTCGCTTCGTTGATCGTTTTCGGCCGCTCACTCAGTCCGAGAACGGCAGTAGACACCGATTTGATGATCGCTGTATCATCCAGAGTGGACTTCATTCCGGCATTATTTTACAAATGGACGTTGAAGCCAAACTAGTATCTAGTAAGCCTTAAAACAATATCTGCAATGGTCTGTGAGTGACTGTCATAGACTTTAACGAATACAGTGCATTTGATAACCGGTTAGTTCGTCGGAGGAATAACGACAAGATCTAGCTAAAGTTCATATGCGACAACTTCTTACGCAGGGTACCGGCAACGTATCACAGTTTCTGGACCCTAATCTTGCACACTCCTGTGATAAATTGTGCTCGGGATTATATAGACAAATTGTGTACATTGTTGAATACGTACGGGTTCTAGTTGAACGACACAGACGCATTATGTAACTATATCCAAAGAAGAAAAAAGGATTTTAGGCAGAAGCTGGACTTTTTTTTTTTTTTTTCTTTATTATTCGTTGCATATATCATACGTTGATATAAATGTCTTTGTCTGTAGCTACAGCAGATCCAATGCAAGCGGTCACCCACATAATCTATCCGTGCGTGACCTAATGCTATGCACGGCTCGTGTAGCAACATTGGCGCCCACTGACGGCTTAAGTTCAACAATTTATTTAGAAGTCTGCATCCTATAATATTACTGTTTTTAGGCGACAATGCAGATTTCTTTCTCTGTGTATTGAAACTAACTAGCTAAAACGACTCGCTTGGTCTTAACTATTCACAGACTCTCAAAAAGTAAGGTCGCTGAACGTTAGCAGTCGATTCACGGTTAAAGTGTCACGAAAATGGTTGAGTTAGTCAAGCAATAGCGTCGATATGATCCCTTGTTCGTGACGTCGATATTCGTGGGCATAACGAATTTTTAGAATTTAAATTTTGCGCGCTTCAATCAGGTTCTGTTTTTTTTTTTTTTTTTTTTTATTTCTTTTTCCTGTCTGTTTTCGTAATTGATCTTCTTCACATTTCAGTTAACTAGTTTATGACTTATTACCGTACATAATAGATGCAATTTAACAAGAATTGTCTGCGGCCATTCGTCACACATAGGTACAGACCCCCTATGCGATTATGCGTGATTTGAAGCTCATCTTTTTGACTTTCGCAATTGGTCATACGTTTGTCGACACGGTAAACGTTGTCTGACGACGTTAACGTTTTCATCGATCGGTCGCAAATGGTGCGCATGTGTTAATGTAAGGGAAAACGCACCCATAAATATTAAAGTTACTCCTTAGTTGAGGTAAACAGTCGGCGTATATTTAGCGCGTAAGCACAAATACAAAACTATCGATCAACATAGAGCGGGCAAAAAATGTACTAACATTGGAAAGACATTGATGCCAGCATCGAATGGTGTTTCGATGCGTCTATATTTTTTGAAACAAAATATATGAAAGACTTTGCCCGTTTTTGTGCTTAACGAGAGCGCTCTTGATATTTTTGTTCGGATGTCTTTGACCACTGGCGAAAAAAGCGTCCGATCCATTCTTCAATTTTTAACCAAACGAATGGAGTATAATTTAGCTTTTTATGTGGACACCTTCTGACCTCGGTTGGAAAGGGCCGATTTTTACAGACACACGTTCATATCAAAATTTGTTAAGGTGCGTAACTGATAAAGTTAATGCTAGAGTAGGCCAGATGTGAACGGTCTCTGTTACGACGACCGTTGACGAACGGCGTGGGAGACACCCACTGCATGCTCCCAAATGGACAAGCAATCAAGTTAGGTAAATTGTGTCAAGCAGGAGATTAGCTATTTCCCGATATCGGCCAACAGCGCAGCAGCATATATAGTACTATAACATATAGTCATATATCAAAATAAAAAAATCACTGCTGTGTTTGGAATTGCCATGGCATTCGTTTCTGGAAATCTTCTCTAAGTTAGCATCACTTATTTAGGATTAGTCTTCATCACCCATTGCTGGCGCATAAAAACGTGGCGATAATAAACTTTATTGTTATTGTTGTTACTATGTCTAGCGAGCTAGTCTTATTATCAGGCAACTGAGAACTATTCATCGTCAACTCATTGCCATTCTCAAGTTCTATGTCCCTTGTATATAATCTATAAATATAGGGGCCGCCGTAGTAAAAGTTGGCAGTCGATGCACACGTATCGTTGATTCCGAAAGCGGTCTGATAAGGAGCCCGCATAACGATACATACTGGCCAGCCGTTACCCCGTTGCTGGTGACGGAGCCCTCGTCAATGTAACGAAACAGAAAACACATTTCTAGCGAATTATCTCTCAGTATATATATATATATATACATATTTATACATATATATATATATATATATATATATATATATATATATATATAAGATCAGAAAACGTCTTCTTTGGTGCTGAATACATAAATTCTATCACCAAGTGTCAATATTTGGCTGCTTAAAAGTCTATGTGTATATAGGACTAGTCTGTGAACCCTTCGAGTGCTTGAAACTATGCTACTAGTGTCCGCCATGACGACAGTATCAAACACTAAGAACAAAGTCTTTAATGTATTTTCTGTAATCCTATTTTAATAAAAACGCTACGGACTCCTAACGAAAGGTTTTTGTACATTGTAATTATTGCATATAGCATAAGCAGCAACTGTCGGCTCTTCTTGCTCTTAAGATAGACGAGTCTAATTAATGTTTGCAAAAGTCACCTAAATAACTACTTCTTCACCCGCTCTTTTACTTCGTATTTGACTTTTACAGCTCTCTTTTGCTCTGTGTATGTACGATCTAGATAAAGAAGCTTACGCCAAAGCGGCCCAGTTTGGCTGCTGCTGCTGCTTCCCGCTACGTTTGTCAATCAACAGACAGACCGTAACCGAAAAAAATACGTTCTCGAAAAACATCGTCAGAAAGCCAACATGGAACAGTTATTTTTCGCGGGTGAGCATAGCCCTACTTCTGGCGTCTGCTTTTCGACTCACTGACGCACAGACCGATGGGCGCATAGGTACGCGTGGCGCCGCGTGCACTTCGCGCTCTCCGTCACTTGTTATTGGCAGCAGTTGCTAACCAACGAGCAATCGCTGCCACCGTAATGGAGGAATTTCGCTAGAAGAAAAAAAGCGGTTTATTTTAGTATAAATGATTTTGCAAAGCGCGTGGCCAACATCTATCATTGTCCATGCAGATAAGTACTTTGCCTGGCGTGGCACGAATGTTTCTGCTGCTGTTACTGCTACAAAAGCTCGATTTTGCCGACTGCACAACCTCAGACACGTTATGCCTGACGACAACAACAGCCGCCACCATCGCTTCTGTCGTCGCGTAACGCAGAGTCAACGCATGCGGAAGCAACGACGCTCCAATATTACAACCGGAACGATACAGCGGCCGTGGAGATGCAGGCTATAGGTGAAAGGGATCAGATTGTACGCGTGATCCGTTCGTGCGTCGATTCCGTGAACAGGAAGGCAAACGAGAATCAGACTAAAGTATTTGCATAGACTGAGGTGATTGACTATAGGAACCAATACTAGTTGATTTCGCCTTTTATAGCTTTAAAGCGAAAATATACGAAACAACATAATATGGGCAATATTTTGCCTACCTAGCAGAGACAATGCGATTTTGCAAAAGAGAATAGTTCTATTCAGTTCAGAAATCCGTTAGCGACACATAGAGGAAAATGGAAGATGTCATGTGCGAGTTTTTTTCGTTTCTGTACATGTTCAGGGGCATATGTGTTTAACATAGATGTGACTGAGGTAAATTGCTCGACTGTATTATATTAAATATTCAGTGTTATATGTAGATTTGCGCATATAGAAAGGCACCAATCAAACTAGGCTGGCAGCGCAACGGCGATTGCGTAACCATGGTGCCAATGGTCGTGGACATGTAGCACAGGCATGAAGCATGGATCATCGTGTTGGCAACATCGGGCTCTAGCGTTGGCCATTGAGTCAATAGGCATCTTCTACAATGCACTATTGTGGATTTTTCTGTTCCGTCTGTGGCAGCCGAAACAAACATGTGACATTATAAGGTCAGCTAGAAACGATTTTTGCTACAAGAAATCCGTACTAGGGATAGATTATTGTGCAACTTTTGTATTATAGGAAGGGGCGCAAACTTATTGCCTTCGTCCCACACTTTCGAACTTGTTTCCATTAGCACAAAGACCGATAGATTTCTATC